GAGTCCGCTTTAAAGATGCTACACCTTTGCAGGGTGTTTTTTTTCCTTTGGAAAAAACAAACAATGTCAGTGCCAAATACCTGTTTAATGATCAAAAGGTCCAGAACACTTCAGGTGCATGGGCTCAAAAAAAAAAAAAATAAATAAAAAAAAAAAATAAACTAATGAAAAATACAAAGCTTAGATATTTTGCATTAAAAATTGCTTTGATTTTTTTAAACATAAGTACAATTAAATAAAAATGTATTGTTAAATTTATTTAAAAAAAAAATGTTTTTAAAAATAAATAAATTGTTAACATTTGAGTACATTATACTTTATATGTTATAATAATATGTAACATTGAGTACAATGAAAAATACTTCTAAAGCATTTATTAACATTAACACACGCATGCATATATATATATATATATATATATACACACACACACACACAGTGGGTACGGAAAGTATTCCTCATTATCCTAATAATTCTTTATAAAGAGTTCAGGTATATTTATTTATTATTTTTTTCAGGTATATTAAAACAGATTTTTTGTAGGTATTTCAGGTATATTTAAATGCAAACAGTTTTGCTTCAGGACCCAAATTCAAATCAAGCTCCCAAGACCAAAATTGTCTATTGCACAAATTGTACATTGTCTGTTGTCTATTGACTTTAAAATCAAGCATGTATTTTCCTAATATATAACCATAAACAGCACAAACACAGTAGTATGCAAAAATTAACATGACATGGGCTAAACAAATATTCAAGGACATTTTAATATTAAAATAGGCTATTTAAATAAATAATTAAATATTTAATTTCATAAAATAAATGTCCTGAGTGTATGTATGTGTGTATATGTATGTGTGTATATATATATAAATATATAACGATTCTGTGTTTTTCTGTCAGTATGGGGTGCTGTGTGTACATTAATGAGGAAAAAAAATTAACTTAAATGATTTTAGCAAATGGCTGCAATATAACAAAGAGTGAAAAATTGAAGGGGGTCTGAATACTTTCCGTACCCACTGTATATATAAATATAAATAATTCAAATTTTTTTTTTTTAACTATTTTAAATGAGAAATAATTGAAAACATTTTTGTGCTAGCTTAGCATTGGGAATATTTTAAAATTGAAGATGTATGTATGTATGTATAAGAAAGAAAGCTGTGTGTCTGTCTCTGTCCTGCTTTAGCACTCGTTCTGTGCTGTGCAGCACCTGTTGATGTTTCAGAAAGTTATCATGACAGGTTTGTTCCTTTACCAGCTGTTGTTCTGTGTAACGTGTTTCCTCATTCACACAGAAAAGCTGCCGTTTATGGGTCAGTCTGCATGTGCCATTCAAAATTGTAATACTAGAATGTGAGTCAGACTCGTACAACAGAGTGTCAAGTTATAAAGGCACGGATAAACAAGTCATTAAGCTCTCCGTCCGGCATCCATGCTTCCCCTGCCTCACATGCGCCATCTGACCTCATTTCAGGATACAAATAGGAAAATGAAAACTAAAACAACAGCTGGAGTGATATTTGGTGAATGCAGACTCGCGTGGGCACAGAGCCAGTTAGACCACTGATAAGCTGATCTCTGTTCTCTTATGAGACAGCATGCATGGGTAAACACAGACAATCACACACCATTACTGAAAACTCTTTGTGCAATCTGTCTGAGCTGCTCACATTTTATGCATATCGACTTACTACAGTAAGTAAACTGAGCTAGAACCATAAAAGTGCTCAATGGGAAAAACAGCAAGGGTTTTATTCATTAGCTGAGGTATACTTAATGTAACTTTTAAATGCACACTGAATATGCTTTACATTTACATTATGCAATTAAAGATTGCCATGAAAGAGGAAACCCATAGTAGTTGTAACAGTGACACAATCTCATATAAATCGAAATTTCTAAGTTGGTGATCAGGGAAAAATGTCAAATTATTAACAATAATATTTAAAATAAGTTAACAATAATAAAAAAAAAAATCAAACAATCACTCAAAATAATTTAGCTACAACTTTAAATTACAAGTTTTTAACTAATTAAAAACAAATAAAAAATGTTATTTTTAAAAATGTTTTTATTAACACTTTGGACTCAAGTGTTACCTTGCACTGATGACCTTACACTCAAAAACGAACTCATAAATAAATAAATATATACATGTCTCAGTGGCGTACATGGCTCACACATCACAGATGATTATGGGTTAGCAGGGACACACAGGAAGGTGAAAAACAGAAGGTGGGAATGTTTTTGGGTTCAGGAAGGAAATCAAGCAGGAAGAGATATAGTCCATGTTTTTGTTTTGAATTATGTCCGAACACATAAAACCCTTTCCTTTCTCATATTAAACTCCTCTCTCTCAATCTCATTCTCTCAGCCACATTGCCGTCTTTCTTTTTTTATATTCTCTTTTTATTAATGTACCAATACTTCCATAATGGAAGAAACTGTTATTTATAGCCCAGTTTCCAGACAAAGGCAGATTTTTATTTCGAAGTGCATTGTGTTTGGAAACTGACAGTGAAATGTCTGTATTTAATATGACAAATATAGAACAGGATCAGTTTAACCAGCTTAACCAGTTTCTTCTTTTTTTAACCTCACTAAAGCTATAATTAATATGACATAAATCCATCTGCAACATACATATTTTTCCCTGTTATAAAACAAAATAACATGCAAATGTTTTATATCTGAGAAAATATATTTAATCCTTTAAGAGCTCTGCAAAAAGTACCGGACAAAGAAAATATATTACCTTTATATATCAACGATCAATATATTAAATTATTTAATGTATATTGAATATATACTGAATAATACATTGTGTTTATATTACAATACATTGCATAATACTGAAAAATGTGACAATATATCTACTTATATAATATGCATGTAATTTAAATTTATATTCAGTAATGCAATGCATAATATATAGATGTTATATATATATGTGTAATATATGTACACAGTTATGAGGAAAATATATATTGTGATATTCATATATTTGTATTTGTGTGTGTATATACTGTGTATACGCATGCCTATATACAGTATTTTTTATATACCATAGCCGCATGGTACATTCATATATTGTAGAATATTGAAAAATATAATTACTACTTTACAATAAATGGAAATGTATTCATATATTGCATTATATTTCCCAGTATATTATCATATTTTTGTTTTGTAATAGAAATCTAATTTAAATAAATAAAATATTATTTCTTCAAAATACATAGATGCTTCTAAATGTCAACAGATAAAACTGGGCCATGAAAATTTTCTGCAGCAAACACTGAAAGAAAACACTGCAGCAGCTGAAACACTTTTGTTTTCTGCTTTTTGTTCTAGTTACATAACTACATTTTTGTCCTAGTTACTTTGAAGGGTTTCAAAAACATACTGGCCCAAAACCAAAAGTACTAGAGTACTACAATTGTAATTTTGGACATTTACATGCTCTGAAAAAAAAATCACTCAGAAGTTGCTTGTAAGTGTCACAAATAATTATAAAGAAATGGCAAGTAACACATTGAATTAAATGAGAAATTTTAAAGCAAAAAAATATTTTCTTGTAAAATATACTCCAATAAACTTATATACATACATACATACATACATACATACATACATACATATATATATATACTTAAACAAGTGCATTGATATGCCAGGTAAATACCATGGATGTACATCAATATAAATACGGATATGGGTACTAACATCAATATGGTAATCATTTCCAATTAATCAGTACCATGGTATGTATGTCAAAATACTAACAGCATTTATATGTAAATAGATGGAGAAAGTGGAATAATGTTAACATGCATTGTGCAAACACATAAATAACCGTTAACCACATGCAAACCATATGCAAACTTTTAAGCCTGACGTTTTAATAAATATACATTTACATGTATGGATTTGGCGGATGCTTTTATCCAGAGTGACTTACATTGGATACATCTTATCTGTTCTTGCTATCCGTGGGAATCGAACCAGTGACTAGCAAGGCTCTACTGTTTGAGTGACACTGTTTAAATCTGCATTATTATTAGGTGATTATATAAATAAATGATTCTAACTTATTTCAAATGATCATTTATGTGCATTGTTCAATTTGGTGTACACTGAAAAACAAATTGGCTGAGGATTTTCTTACAAAAATGCTAGTGAATTTCACAATATTATAAAGAAATGGCATGTACACTGTAAAAAAAATATATTTTTTGAAGTCATGAATAAAGATTACTGAAGTATATTTACAAGACAATACTATTTCAGTCTTCCTACTTCAAAATTTTTATTCAATGGTTCCATTTCTTGCCATTTTATTTGTAATTATTTGTGAAATTCACCAATTTCTGAGTGTAAATTGTTTCAAAGTAATTTTTTTCAGTGAACATGTTGAATTAAAGTGAAATTTTGAAGTAGAAAGAATGAAATAGTATTTGCTAGTAAATCAAGCTATACAATAATTTGTTACAACTTCCAAAAAAAAAAGTACAGTGTAGAGTTGCATAAAAATGCAGCTGATTAGTTTAGTCTAGATCTACAGCACATAAAGGTGTTTATTTTATGATTTTTAAAATGGCAGACTTAGCAGACCAAGCTTTCTGTGCGAATAAGTATGCTACTAGCATTAATAATTTAAAAATAGTTTTACTGGTAACACTTTAAAATAAGGTTCCATTAGTTAATGTTAGTTAATTTATTAACTAACATGAATGAACCATGAATAGTACATTTATTACAGTATTTAATCTTTGTTAATGTAAGTTAATGAAAATACAGTCATTGATTGTTAGTTCATGTTAATTCACAGTGCATTAACTAATGCTAACAAGCACAACTTTTGATTTTAATAATGCATTAGTAAATGATGAAATTAATATGAACAGGTTCACTCTTAGTTCATGTTAACTAAAGTGGTTAACTAAGTGTTACTGCTTTATTTTAATGTTGCCTTTTATTGACTGTGATTGCAGAGGGCAGATGGTGTTTCTGCAGACCTGTCCATGTGAAGGAAAGCTCGCAATGGGCCAAAATCCAAATGCAAAATATTTCCTTTGTGCAGTGGCACAAACACATGCAGCAGTGGCCTGATCTGTTGACCCAACGCTCTTGGCAGTTCGAAATAAGCCAGGTAACCCGAGAAGCCTGTTTTCCCTGAGCTTTCCTCTACAGGACAGGCCTCTCGCTCTCTCTTTTCTGTTTTTCTCCCAATACTTTTACTTCTATGTCTATCACCATCTCTCTCTCCTTCTCTCTCTCATTCCCCCCTCCCTTCAGCGCTGACCTACTTTTCAACTGACCTGTTTATGCAAGCCTCTATGCGCTCCAGTCACAAAAATGGGGACAAAGGGGAAGCTGAATCCATAGGACTGTGCCACTGCTGTTGTTTGGGGATCATTAGCTGTACCGCTGCCCCACCTCTCCACCAGCACTGCGGCAGCCATTGCAATGGTGTTTCAAAGCTCCCACAATGTTATGACACTGACTTCAAAAATAGAGGTGATTATTAATAGCATTTATGTAGTTATGAGAATACTGGCATTGGTTGCATTGGCCTATTTCACTCAACTCACTTTAGTGGCGCGTATTTCTTTCGTTGCCCATATTAACCAGTTTGGTTAACCAGTATATATATAATTACATATAT